GTTRAGCCCTGTGGTGACTTTTTAATTTCAATTCTTTTTTCAGCTCTAGAATTTCCATTTTCTTTTAATAATTGCTCTTTTGGTTAGTATTATTTGATGATGAAACACTGCCATGTTCTTTAATTCTTTAAGTATTGATTTTCTTTAGTTCTTTGAAAATGTTTATAATGTCTGCTTTCATGTCTTTGCAGTGTCTAATATCTGGGCCCTCTCAAACACACTTCCTTTTGTCTACTTTTTTCCTCTGCAGGGGTCACACTTTGTTTCTTTACAGGTCTATAATTTTTTGTTAACAACTGGACATTCTAGATAATGGTTCATAGGAGTTCTGGATACTAATCTTCCTCACTCACTCCACTCCCTCCCCGACTGGCTTCTTGTTTGCTTATTTGCTTAGCAACTTAGCAAAACTAGTTCAGTGAGATCTGATCCCCTAAGTGTGGCTCTGACGTCATTCCTCAGTAGGCACAGATTTGGGCTGAGTGACATTTTGCTTTTTCCTTTTAAATGGATCTTTCCTCCAAACGGCTGTGTGAGTGCCTCTTTGCCTGATCTTTGTTGAATTTCTGGCTGTCACATCCATTTGTTAGCCTCAGCTACTTGCTTGCTCTATTTGGCTTGGCCTTGTAGCATATAGTGTCCCCACAGTCTGATCTAATTAGAGCCAGTCCCTTTTGTAAACGTCCTCTTTGAGCTAGGTCTGAGTCTTGCTCTGACCTCAGGAACTCCTCTTAGCTGGTCTGCTCTGCTGTCATGAAGCTGTCAGCCTCCTTTTRATTGTTCACCATCAAAATTTTTGTTTCCAAGAGCACCTTAGGCTTGAACTTTGTTATACTTTATTCCAAATGAATTCACTCCCCCCAGAAGATCTGTGGATCTCTCTGTTCTTAAGGCCTAGCTCACCCTCTAGACAGAATCTGAGTGTCACTCTTCCAGAGCTGTTGTAGGGACAGCAGCCTTCTTTTCTCTGAATGACTCCTCGGGTCTGTATGAGGGTTGCTGTCCCAGGGTGGTAACACTTCGTCTTCTTGGCTTACCTTTCACAGAATAGAACCTCCAGCCTATAAGTGAGTGGTGAGGRTGAATGGAGCCAGAACTCTGCCTATTAGCAGAGACTGGTTGAGGAAAACAGCTCCTGCAAAGGGGTGGGGGGGTAGAAATGCCAGGGGTCTGCTCTTTCCTGGAAGAACCACAACCCTAGATTTGGAGCTGTGTTTTGTGATTTTTTTTATTATGAGCTTAACTATCTTGGAACATTATTTTTGGGAAGTTGAAGATAGGCCCTTTGGGTAATGCTTTATAATTGATTCTGAAAGATACTAGGAGAAAGGACAAATTGGGGACCTCTTTAAAAGGCCTGACCTGTCTTCTTGACCATACTTGCCCAGAGTAGAGCTTCCATTTTACTGAGCTTCAGGGAGGTAGGGGAGAAGTGGTACCAGGTAAGGGAGCCTGTTATGGTTCCAGTGCCACAAATTSTCTGTTCTTACTGAGCTTTGGTAAGTTTTCCTAAGAAAAATCTCTATATGTTTGTATATGCACTTAGGACAATTGTCAGAGTCTTTTAAATAGTTTAATTTTACAAATTTCACCAGCTATGATTGTTTCACTGGGGACAAGAGCCTTAGATAGCTTCATACTGCCATTCTAGAAGTGCTTCCCTTGTGTCACTTAAAACTGTGTGGATTTGTCTAAGTCTTTGTTACTGGTTTAGAATCCAAGTATGCTTTGGGGATAGGCTTTATTCATGGGCACAGCAATCTGGTAAGGACTGTTATATGTATATGACTCATATCAAATGGCACATGGGGACTACTTGTATTTCTAGCAGTTCAGGTGGACTAGGTCATCAGAAGACCCTCCCACTGAAGAAAACTAAAATGTATAATGAGTTATTGTTATGAATATTTTTAATCACATCAAAAACTAAAATAATTAGTAGAATATACAGATATCAATAAGAAGTAAAAGAGGCAGCCCAGAGAAATGAATAGCACATTGAAGATGCCTTCCTCTTAAGGACGTTTGATGAATCAGGAACTTGAGCAACAGTTCTCAGAAGCTCCTGMTACCTGAGTAATACACACAAGTCCAGAGCCCACCTGCAGTACCTAATGGGAGGCCATCCCTCTACACGTCTGAAACACCAAAAAAAGGCCAAGCTTTTAGTGGAAGAGAAACAAGAAATATTCCCCTTTAGGAAACGATACAGAAGAAAAATCTGTGTCAAGTACAACTAGGGGAGTATCTCCCTGAGAATTATTACAGTGCATGAGGTTGCAACCCAGCTTTATCTGGGTGGTCCCAAAAATCCTCAGGCTATTTAAAGAGGTCCCCAGCTTGTCCTTTCCTCTAGGACCTTTAAGAATCAAATGTAAAGCTCAAAAGGGCCTGTCTTCAACCCAAGCCTCAAAGACTTCCCAGAAATAATATTCTAAGAGAGTTAAGCTCAGAATAAAAACACCACAAAGCACACATGTAAACCATGGACTGAGAGTAAGAAGCAACAGACATAGTAAGACATCGTATTCATAGCCACCAAGACCTCAGATGGTAGGAATTATTAGCATGCAACAGAAAAAGAAGTAAAATTAATACCAYTTTTTAAAATTTGAAAATGAAAAAGCAATTGATTATGAAACGTAACCACACATTGATAAACTTCAGAAGTGAGAAACTCATCAAAATGTGAAATTTAATGGACATATAAGCATATTAAATAACACTGAACGAATTTGACAGGTAAATGTTGATGAAATACATTTATTTAGCTATTCTAGGTTGATGGTTTATTTATCTCAGCATACTACTACACTCTGCTTCCCATTATTAATAGTGACATGCCAGGTATTAGATGGCTAATTGTGTTCCTTTGAGGGTTGTTTTGTTTTGGTTTTGCCTAGCCATTTTTGTCATCTTTGGTGTTCTGCATCTTTCATTATGGTRTATTCATGATTTGTTTTTATTTTCTCTGCTTGGAATTCATTGTGATCCTTGGATATGTGGATGAGGTGAGGGGGTACCAGTTCTGGAAAGTTCTTGGTCGCTAACTTTTCTGATATTACTCTTCCCATTACTTTTATTTCCCTCAGGAACTTCAACTAGACACATTAGATCTAYTCCATATCATTTGATCACCTATATTTTGTTTCTCATTTAGGTATAAATCTCCACAAATCTGTCTTTCAGCTCACCAAATTCTTTCTTCATATTGAAGCCCAAGAATTATTACTAATTTTGTTATGCACAAGTTTTTGGTTTTAAAACAAAAAATCCATAATTTTTAGAACTGCAATATGAAGTATGTCAGTGAGGTGACGTATGGTCTAAAATTTACCTTAAAATACACTTACAAAGAGGGTTAGATAGGTTCTTGAGCATTGCAGAACGTGGATGTGGATCTAAAGGATTTTGTTTTATTGTCTCTTGCTGTTGTTTTTGAAAAGTTTCATAATATAAGAGGACCAGAAACATTGACTTGGATTTATAAAATTTTCTTTAAATTTTTTTCTTAAATAATAACAATGTAAGGTTGTCAGAACTCAGTGCCTTTCATGAAATTTGACAAGGTGGGGAATTCATTTTTTTTTTTAAATCTGATTTGATTCATCCAAAAGGAACCACAAACAAGGTGCATTTAAAGCAGGGCTGTGTGGTCTCTGAAGGCAGCACAGGGGTGAGTTCTTCTGGGCAGAAACACTCGGGCTATCCTAGATGCTAGATGGAAAGGAAGTCCACATGCTCAGCATTTCACAGCTAGAAATGGACCAAGTGCTGCTTCCCYAAAACTCCCTTGATACTGGGGATTGAACCCAGAAGCACTTTACCACTAAGCTACATCCCCAGTCCTTTTTTTCTTTGAAACAGGGTTTCAATAAGTTGCTAAGGCTGTCCTCAAACTTACAGTCCTCTTGCCTTAGCCTCATGAATATCACTGGGATTACAGGTGTGTGCCACTACACCCAGTCCAAGTGCTTCTTTTAGCAGAATCAAGTTTAGCCAGACCTCCATCACCATAAGGCAAAACACTGTCTGTGATAAAGGTTAGCAGACTGTAAACCCATACAAATGTAAGGCACTTTTCATTTTGAGAAGAAATCATAAGTGCAAAAGGAAGTTACTCTAGAAAACCACTTTGGGAAACCATTTTGGGGGTATTTAAAAAAACATTTTGGAAAGTCACCTTGAAAAATATTAGTTCCTCGAAATGTTAAAAATAGGTTTATCATATGACCCAGCATTTCCAATCCTAGATATACTTAATATACTCGAGAATTAAAACTATGCATGCCTACATAAAAAGTTGAAATCAAATATTCAAGCATCATTATTCACAGTRCTCAAAAGTGGAAACAACCCAAAGGTCCACAACTGAAGAATGGATGAACAAGGTATAAAGCTATTCACATAATGAATGTAAGTCAGCAGCAAAAAGTGAATGAGGTACTGGCACATTGTCACCACAGAGACAAACCTTGAAAACASTATGCTTAGTGAAAGAAGTTAATCATAAAAGATCCCATTTTATTATTTCRTTGATATAAAATATCCAGACTAGGCAAATCTGTACGGATAAGAAAGCCACGAATTGCCATTTGACTCCCCCATCTCTGCCCCCTTTTTGTGATATTAATTTTCAGGCTGGTTGACAAGGAAGCTAACGGGACAGAGGCTGTCCTAAAGTGGGGATAATGGAAGATCATGCAAATGACAGGCCTCCCAGTCACAAAGGTTTCCCTACTACCCAGCAGTGAGCATGTTCACTGCATTGGCAACAGAGCAGCTATGAGTATGATGATCTCTTTAATCACCAGATCTAATGTCAAAATTGCTATACATATAATCCCATTGTCTCTCACCCAAAAAACACAAAGGAGGATTGTGGATTTATGATGATGAAGTGACTCCTCGTTTTCTGTGATGAAGGCAAACTGCTTCCCAGGACAGCTGGCTTGCACTCATCTGTGCTCTTTTTTTCCCTTTTCTCTTCTGTTTTTCAGTGGCTGCTTCAACCCCCAACTCCACTGCTGGTGCAGCCATGAATTCCTTGACATCTCTTGGGACTCTGCAAGGACTGGCTGGAGCCACTGTTGGACTGAATAATATTAATGCACTAGCAGGTACCATAAACAGTGAGTATTTGCTGCTCTGGTGGACAGCCTTCCCCCAAATTCTCCACAGAAAATGGCCATCCAGAAATGACCTAAAAAGGATATGGAATGGGGAGAACTAAAACTTGGGATGGAGGAGCACATGCTTTGACAGGCCAAAGCTATCTACATTCATTTTATCTCAAAAAATGCCCAGCCCCTTCCCACCCCCCGATTCTTTGTACCRGCTACTATAAGTCCTCACCAATAGTGGGATTGACAGATCTTTTCAGCTTTCAAGGAGTTTGTCTGGGTTTTGATTTTCTCCTGCTGCGAGGCAGTATGTAATAATAGAAAATTAGGCTGAGACACTGTGTCCAGCTCTGCTGCCCATCAGTTGTAGGAACTCAGGCCAACCACAGCTCCCTCTCTGGGCTTCAGAGTCTCCACTTGGAAAAAAAAAAAGAAGAAGTTCTGGATAAGAAGATCTTAAAGGTGCCCTCCAGGTTGAAAATCCAAATAGTATTTACAATTACACAGGGGGGAAATGAGGTCTCTAAAGGAAAAGAAACTGAGGAGAAAAGAAAAGAAAAAGAGGAGAGGTGCTGCTGGAAAGAGCGTCATCTGGAATCTTCATTGAGCACCTGTGGGCATGGGTCACTGTAGAGCAGTGACTGTATAAATTAGGGGCATAATTTAATTGCAAGGGGGTGAAACAGGTTTGAAGGCAAATAGCTTACCAAATTATACTTGGTTCTGAAACATGTGGACTCACTAAGGAATTCTAGGATCTGTGCTACGTAGCCCACCTGACCTTGTTCCTGCCTATCCATTTTAGATCCATGAGAGGAGTGTTGCCCAGGCCCAAGGTTAAGTCATATTTTAGGCTTGTGCCTGGCATGGGGTCCTGCACTGAGGAAGCTGATCCTCAGCCTACAGAGGGGACGCCTGATTTTCCTGTCTCTCCATTCAGTCACCTTAGGGCCTGAAAGTAGCCAAGCCTAGGAGGYCCATGACAGCCAACAGAGCTTTCTGAGGAATTTCGGACCTACATACCTATCAGAGACCCTGGACAACCTAACACCTGCCCGTTTTAGTTTTTAATAAAAGAGGCACTTATTATTTGCCCTATTTTAATCTGTGATTCAATAAGTAAACTGTTTTTAAAGGGTGATCAGACCGTATAATTTTTTAAGCCAAAAATTCCAAAAATTTTATACTTTGAAAGCTCAAAAATACCAATGCAGTTTGTCTGGTTTAAAAAAAAAAGTCTGAAATTCATCCATATACAAATTAACCTGATAAGAAAATAAATCACATGTTTAGAAGTAGGAATTGTTCAGGTTTCATTAAAGCCTTTAATTCAGATGCTCTGAGAAAAACAAAGAAAAACTTGGAATGAGTTTTGTCTGAGCACAGAGAAAAGAAAACATTTTCCTTCCAAATGTGATGGCTCTCAGTTAGCACAGAGTACATGACGTGACCATCTGACCATCAGAATGTTTCATTCCAGTTAGAACTGTCTCCGGCCTTTCCGCTCTCCAGCAGCTGAACAGGAGCCCTACTGCCTTGCCTCCTGTTTCTGGTACAGCTCCTCTCTGCCCCGTCCTACAGAAGCACCAGCCCACTGTCCTCACATAGGCTGAGGATGTGTTCGCACATCCCCTCATGCTGCTTCTCTTGCCCCAGGACCTAGTTCCCCTCAAACAAGGACTTTGATTTGATCGCCTGCCTGTCCTTGGTCTGCAGAGTAACAGGCCAGTGGGAATGGTTGTCCTCCTCAGCACGTGCTCATGACTGCTGTGTGTATGTCCTCTCGTCTGTGTCCTGCTCCCCTCCACCCTACTCTGTTGTACGTCGCTGGGCTTTCCCCATCATTATCGTGAGGACACAAGAGGGACTTTGTTGAATGCCAAAGAAACCACGGCTAGTTCTTGTGTGGAGTCTTATGTTATACCAAGTCTGCTCTGGCAAGGACGACAGGTTGAAATCATTTTGCTTCTCTGAATTCTTTGCCGTTGGGTTAATAGAGTCTGTACCATTCATGGGAATTGAAGAATGTTTCTGGTTTCTAATAACCCCTAACAGTCAGTACAAACCAGGAAAATGTTTAATTCAACCAAAACTCAGGCACAAATGGAAATATACATTCCTTCTCATTCAATTAGTATTACTAGTACAGAGCTCTTTTACACTCTCAACTTTGGCTTGGAACTAATAATTGCTGCTTGTCTCAAATTAAATATTGAGAGAAAACCTTCTATRATAGAATATCATCCCCTTTCAGATCATTATTCCTCAAGAAATGACAGTGCTACCTTTTCTACAGGATAAGTCTCAAAGCAGGCAATCAGGGAATGGTCACCTGAACAGTGACTTTCTAAAACAGTTGACCTTAGCTTCCAGGTCATTGCTGTTTTCTACCCACTCTATCCCAAGAGCCATTACATACTACCTTGAGGAGAGTATTCTGGTTTTCTGAATAGACCCATCTCTTCCATGGTCAAAGAAGCCAGCAAGAGAATAGGTGGCTGACTCAGCTTGGCCTAGATTTGACCCTCCTCCCTGCCAGAGTCCCCACCCCTGCCTTAAAAGGACTCTTCCATTAGCAGATAAGTACCTATATTAAACTGTTCAAATTTTTTTTTAATTTTTATTGTTGGTTGTTCAAAACATTACATAGTTCTTGATATATCATATTTCACATTTTGATTCAAGTGGGTTATGAACTCCCATTTTTACCCCGTATATAGATTGCAGAATCACATCGGTTACACATCCACTGATTTACATATTGCCATACTAGTGTCTGTTGTATTTTGCTGCCTTTCCTATCCTCTAAACTGTTCAAATTTGATAGCTTTTTTCTTCCCTTATACTTTAATGAACGGAGGGGCTTTAAAAATACAGCTCCCTAATGATAAAAGCAGTAATCAGCAAGATCAGAAGAAATAACATAGAACAATGTATAATAAAGAATATAGAATAACAGTAGGTACCTCTACATCATGGAAAGCTCCCTAGGCTCATTTTGTATACTAATATCTGAACCAAGTTGAAGACTTTATGCAGATACATCCACCCAAGTCTGTACCTGATTTGGTGTGTTTAAATGTAAGTCAAGTGGCATCCTTACTTTTCCTGTTTAAATTGCATAATTCTTCCAAATGACTTWCTATACAGTGCTTAACATTATGATTGTTTGAATATAACCGGCCACAAATTCCTGGTGGCAAATGTTTTTGGAACTATTTTATGTAAAGTACAGAAAAGAGAAGATGCTTTGGGCACATTAATGTAGCTTGTCATTCGTTATTTGCATTGTGAAATTACTGTTTGAATATGTGTCATTGGAATTTACAAGGATGTATGCGGTTAGATACACACACAAGCACACATAGTCCACACACATTTGTAACCTTTTAACACAGGCATGTAGGAAAGTGCCATTAACTGTATGTACATCCATTTCCCTGGTTCCAGACACTTTTWTTTAGGTTCTCACTCACTAGCTTACACTTTAGAAGGATAAACCTCATCTGTACTAAGAAAGCTTATCCCAGTGAATTGGTTACAAACCTATGAGAACACCCTAATACATTCCTCACATCTTATTTAAAATCTGGCAGAGTAGCTTGAAAATAAGTGGAGTCTACCTCTGATTCTACTTTCCAGGACCATATCTTCAGTAACACAAAAACATTCACGTTCATATTTTCGGGAATGTCTGTCTATGTCATTTAAAAAGATTGACTCAATAATCTCACAGCTTCTTGGTCTCTTTCGGTTGAGGACCAAGTGTGAAGCACTTGGTTATCAGGCTATATAACCTCCATACTGACCACCAGTTCCAGAGACCTCCCTTGCAGAGGCTTCCACCCCAGTTATTTGCTTCCAGCCCTGCTCATCCAAATAGTGAGCAGGAGGATCTAGATTAAATGGGAGGAAATTGTCAATCCATTTGGCCTTTTCAAAAAAGCCTTATTCTTTTTAAGTGGAGCATTTTATTCAACTTAACTTTCTTTATACCTCCATTTCTATTGTCCAGGACTTTGAGAGGTCATCAGGTATAAGCAGCTGGGCTAAAAATTATATCTTTATATAGTGAGTATAGAAGAACATTAGTTTTATATATAGTAAGTATAAAAGTATACTTTATATAGTGAGTATAGAAGAACATTAATATAGAAGAACATTAGTTAATTCATAGGAACTACTCTCAAAAGTTGAAATCTTCCCTTTATGGCTCTTCAAACTCTATCATATAATCCATTATTGTATCCAGGATTTGGCAAACACCCCCATCCCAATTTTCCAAGATAGTTTCGAGATTAGGTATTCTCAAYGAATTTGTACTTGTTAGAGCTCTGACCCATATTTTTTTTTCCAGAAAGATGGTGATCCCATAGAGGAGCAAGCTCTGGGCTAGAGAGACCAAACCCTACCTCCATTATCTGCACAAGTTCCTCACTAGTCCTTCCTTGGGCATTTATACCCTGTCCCTTTGGTTCCTCCTCTGCCAGCCCACTCCTCCCCGTGCCCCCCCCAGAGGACGACCACCATCACTGTCTCCCACACATGTGGTACCCACAGAGGCAAACAAAACTCTGCAGAAGGCAGGTTTTCCTGGGCTATAATCTAAAAACATAACCAACCACAGTGAAGTATAACCAGGAAGGACAAAGGACATGGCTAGAATGTCACTTGCTAGAGCCTCAAACCTCACAAGACTTCTAATGTAGTCCTGAAACATCCTTCCATCATTTCAGGAGCATGAAGTTCATTCTGTTTTAAGAGGGAAAAAAAAAGCGCAAAAGAGTTTGGTCAAAAGAGTTCAGAGTAAAAGATAAGACTCCTGACCCCCAAAATAAGAAAGGCTACGTCCAGAGGGAAGAGGGCTAGAGGTAGTGGTCCAGTGACCACTGCAGTGAGATGTCATCTGTGTGTCTAACAAAAGGGAGAAGTCATGCTGCAGGGCTATAGACCACAGGAAGGCACGCATGGGGTGTACATGGCAAGGCCCTGGAACTCCAAGGCCCTTGTCTGACAAGCTACCAGATGGGGTGCTCTCGCCCATTCATGGAGTGGCAGGGGCATATGGAGACATTAGAGTGGAGCCGAGGCCTTTAGCCATGCTACACAGAGCTCCCAGGTTTCTAGGTTCTTCAASCGTGTTTATTTGCATGACCAGAAAGAGAACAGACTCCTTCACAGGAAGAATTTAAAGCAGATCCAGCAGACCTTCTGCTGGCCACCACCTTAGTTCAGCTGCATTTGCTTGTGACCACTTCTTTCTCAGGGAATTGTTATTCCATTCTCAAGCCTTTCAAGCTTGGCTCGCCTCCTCCACATCCTTCTTTGAAGATAATGTATCCCATTACCACCTTCCAAGGCCTAGTTCTGTCTCCTCAAGCCCCCCAGTAGGAATCCCAGACCTGAGGAGCTACAAGAGTCCTCTAGCATTAAGCCATGATCCAATCATATATTGCATGTTGTCCTTTTCATCTAAGAGATGAAGTTGACAAAATATCAAAAGCACTTATGGGGTAAATAGGATACTCCTCACCTGCTCTATTTCCTGTGGATGACAAGCAGTAGCATTGATAAGGGTGTTCTTTGATGCCGCAGTATACATTTGCAAGCATCCTACCTTAGCTGTCCTGTTCTCATTAGACTTATCAATTTTTTCCAGTTATTCATCCATGTTACTTTAATAACTCTAATCAATARCTCTAATCCCATCAAGATTTTCATTAGATTAAAAAAAAAACTTTTTAATCATAAAGGGAACCAAAGGCAATTGTGACGTCACCTCTTCCATTTCCTGAGTTCATAAGAATGTTGACACTCTATGTATGAAGCATTGCTTGTTTTGACTCACTACTCGGGGACAATGTGATACAATCAGCAACCAGAATAGAGCAGCCAGAATGCAAGGACAAAATCAAAAGAGCTACTGGTCAATATTCAGTTCCCATCGGTTAAAATCCAGGATCCAGTTTACAAACACGGTATCATTGTTGGCTGGAAAACATGACACGAAGCTCTTTCATTGGCAGAAACCCCAGTTACCTGGGCATTGATTAATATGCATGTGTGCACACACATGTAGGCAATAAGCATTTGCTACTAAAAACCACACCAAGAGTCTTGGTTAATTGAATAAGTTGCTTGAGTTCTCTGCAGTATGAAAAGGGCCCACGTTTCCTCTTGTTCTTTAATTCTAAATTAGCTAGGCTGTTTATCTTATTCCTAAGACCCTAGTCCCTGACCAGGTCCTTCAACTGTTCAGGAAAGCCAGTTAATGGAACTGCTGACTCACTGGTTTACAGAGCACAAAACTCGTCTGCTCTGCCATCTCATCAGACAGCTTAAAGGAAAAAAGTTTTATTTTATCTTTGCCTCCTCAACCCCTTGAGCCATCCCCAGTAAATAGATTTAAGTGTACAGATGTTACAGGCCTCTGCCACTAATGTGTTTTTATATGCTTCTAAGCTCTAAGAAGCAGAAGGGCTTTTATTTCAGAAAGATAACAACGGTACTTGCCAGTAGCACACTGCATGGAATTAAGATGTATTGTCTTAACTGTAGTGCCTCGATGAACTTTGATCACTGGCCTAGGGAGACAGGGCTATCATTGCTTAGGTGTTCCCCCACCATTATTGTGATTTATTTCTTCATGGTTTCGTTTCTGATTTTGTTGGTTTAATTGGTGTGCTGGCTGCATGCACTTGCTGTTGTACTTGTGTCAAATGATTCTCGAACTTCCTTTGGAAAGCACTAATGAATAAGTGCTATTTCTCTTCTCTATTGTTGGGTTTTTTGTAAAGTTGCTCAAATGCTCTCAGGTATGGCGGCTCTGAATGGAGGACTTGGCGCCACAGGCTTGACGAATGGCACGGCTGGCACCATGGACGCCCTCACCCAGGCCTACTCAGGAATCCAGCAGTATGCGGCAGCCGCGCTGCCCACGCTGTACAGCCAGAGCTTGCTGCAACAGCAGAGCGCTGCAGGCAGCCAGAAGGAAGGTAGGTGCCTGCCCTGGGCGGGCCTGGCAGGCCCAGCCCTACCCACACTTGCCTTTAGAGCACGCTTAGAAGATGTGGAATGGAACAGGTGTCATAAGGAAAGCACTTGCTTTATTGCTAATATTTACATTTTTTAAAAATGGCCCTGGGCTGGGGATATAGCTCAGTTGGTGCTTCCCTCAAGTGCACAAGGTCTTGGGTTCAATCCCCAGCACCACAAAAAAAAAAAAAAAAAAAGCCAGCCTAAGACATTTCTATCAGTCTTCTCTTCTGTTCATCTTATATTTATCTTTCAGTTTTTCATCAATCGCTTAAGATGAACTTCTACCCATTGGGCATTTAAATGTACTTATTCATTCTTGACATAAAATAATTCCCAGATCAGTATAGACYATAAGTTTCTCCCTTTAGTAGAAGCTGCTCATTAGCAGAAGGGAATGAATGGACATAGGCTCGTGCCAGAGCCCTAGGTTTGCAGCGTCCACTCACCCTGTAATTGTGTGGCTGCCTCTCAGTAGGCGACAGTTCTCAGGCTAATGATAGAATTCACGATTAGGATCGACTTGGTCTTTGTTTAATTGGGGGTCTTTTGGGAAAGCAAGTAAGTGACTGATTGCCTTGCTTCTGAGGCAAAATAAATTTCAAGAAGTTAATGCTAAGAATAAATTAAAGCTAATTATAAGATGGCTAATGACCTATTCCAAATAAGGATAGTTTGTCATTCTTCCTTTTGATTTCTTCCTTAATTGAAGTTGATATAAAGCAGAATCATCAACATGCTATTTATCTTCTTTCTTCCTTATTTAGAATGTGGGAAAAGAAGCTAGAATAGGGAAATAATAATAAAGAAGATTTTTTTTTAATTCCTTTCTCCCTTTCCCTCACCCCATTGTTCAAAAAGGCTTTTGTCTGAATACTCTGACTTTAAGCATGGTGTTCTATAAGAACTAGAATAGTTTTACTTAGTATATTTGTGATATTTAAGAGGACACAGCTTAAAAGACACCCATGTGTTTAAAAAAAATAAGGTTTTCCCTTTTGATAAATAACCATGTAGATCATTAAAAATCAAAGATACGTAATCTAAGTTCATCATTTCAGCTTTCTCTCTGCTCTTGCTATATCTGCGATTACAGCTTTTTTAACATATACATTGTTGGGATGTGAAAGGGGCCCTTGTCATGAGCACCAGAGGTCTTCCCCAAGAAAAGCTGTTTACTTGGTCCCTTTGGGGTCTATCACGGTGACAGATGTGGACAGCAGGAGGGATCCTGTAAGACARTGGTATCCTCAGACAAAGAACATAAAACTAGTTCCCCCTCATGGTTTTAGAGAATCCTAGTCACCTCTCCATTATCTAACAGGCCTTAGAACAAACCAATAGCTTGTATCACTGAGAAAATGTCCTCATCAAGACTCAAAATTCAGTGGTTTGAGGATAAAGCCTGGACCCTGAAATAATGTTTTTCTGAACTATCTCACCCTAGCCCACTGCCCTAAGTTGGTTTGCCTTAAGTTTTAGGGATTTGTAAAACAGATCAAAATAACTTTGCTAACTTTAGGTACATAGGCTATCAGCATGGTTGAGAGTTCTTATCTGTGGTGGTAGTGGTGGCGGGTTTCGATTTGTCCAGTTTTGTTTTGTTTTTCCATCATCTCTTACCTTATCATACCTGGGCAATTAGTAAGACCCTGACTCAAAACAAAAAATAAAAGGGCTGGAGATCTAACTCAGTGGTAGAGTCAGATCTGGGCTCAATCCCCAGTACCACAGAAAAAGGGAGAGGGGATTATATAGGATGAGGAAAAAACATAATAATACTAAATAATTCCAATACTAAATAGATTTTTATATTTCCTAGTCCATAGTTCTGTCCTTTAGTCAAAAGAAATGAGAGGTAATTTGATGTATTTAGTCCTGAACCGTAATATATTTTCCCCATGATAAAATAATTATAAATAATCTTCACCCCAGTTAAATCTTCTGAGGGATTATGGGAACCCTATGGATCTAAGTGCAGAAAAGCTCATCACCTTTCTTGCCATTCCTAAACATCCTCTGACCACTCTCACACCTTTCCATATTCTGTCCTTGTAGGCAGCAAGTCATAAACACACACAGCCTTTAAGCACCCCAGCAAGTACTGGTGGTCTGTGCTTGTCAGGTACCCTGTGAGAAATAAGGAGTACAAACACCTCAACCAGCTGGAGCCAGTGAATATAACATAGATAACTCTCCCAAGTTAAAATGCCATGGAAGAGGGAAATGGGACAAAACGGTGATTTGCAGATGGTAGACAGGTTTTTATTACTTCTAGGACAGAGAAGATGATGAGTCTCAAGTGGAATCCTTAAAAAAAATAAAAAACTATTTAGTTATTTTGGTACTAGATGCCTGCCTCAGTTGTAAATAAGGGTGTTTTTCCACATGAAATTACTTTTTTGGGGAATGGGGAGATAGCTCAGTTGGTAGAGTGCTTGCCTTGCGTGCACAAGGCTATGAGTTCAATCCCCWGCACCAAAAAATAATAATAATACTTTTTTCTCATTTCTATGATAAAAAATGGGGGGGGACCAAACGTTTTCCTTGGTGATTAAAAAACAAACAAAAAGCACTGAGAGGGAGGCAAATCAAAATGTTGACACTTTTTCTTGAGAAAATAAGCAAAGATCAGCGCCTCCTTTTGATTGTCCAGCTGTCCTTGAGAGCCAAGGGTGGAGCTCAGCAGAACAGCACTTGCCTAGCCTGCACAAGACCTGGGCTCAGTTCCTTGGCACTACAAGAAGAACAAGACCCGGCCGTCTCAGTACTTCCAGGGCCTCCATCTCTGGCATAGATACTAAGTGCACACATTCTAAGTGCACACATTCTCGAATGCCAGCATTGCTAAGACATACCTAGGAACCTGTCTTGGGCATTCAAGTTGCATTTCCTCCCTAGGTTTCAAGAGGCCATGCACCTTACAGGTCAAATCAGATCCCATTAATCTTCATTTGTGCATTTGGATCTTTTATTGGAAGGAACATTAAAAGTGGAATCAGATCTGTGCCCATTGCAAAGGATGTGCATGGCACAGCAGCACTCAGAACACCCAAACTCTCCAGAGTTTTGGGTTTTGCACCTATTCAGAAAACATTTGAGGGTCTATAGTTGTGTCCTTTCAAAGTACAGGCTGCCTCCCTTGCTCTGGAATGTCAATATATCCATAGAATYCGTGAGCACTGTTAAAGTGGTCATAGAGATACATTTCTAAATAAGAAGAAATGCCTCATCTGGGGCTTTAGGAATTGGCCTCAAGAAATCTTCCTTGTGAGAAGTCCCATTTATTGGGATGCCTTTTTTCTTTTATGATTTATTTTGTGGGGGCAGGTGAAGAAACTTGTTGGATGTCTCTTTGCAATGATGTTTATCCATTTATTTTTTCAAAGTTCTTTTTATCCCAATTTTTTTTTCAGCCCAAACACACAAATACCCTTCCCCTCTACCTAGGGAACCACTGCAGCCTGTTCCCTGCAACTTCACAAAGAGGGTGGGCAGGCCTGGCTCCTCTCCTGTGAAAGCCAGCTGCAGCCATGAACCAGCTGCAGAAGTCACTCGACCGATTCTGTAAGCTCCCTCCTGCCCCAGACACCCTGCCTGGATGTCCAAGAGCCACCAAGTCCTTATTCTCCTTGCAGCTCATTGGGTTTCCTTCTTTTTCCTCTTTTAATTTTTGGACAGCTCTCCTACAGGTGGGTAGAAGGTTTGGAGAGGGAGATGGACAGGAATATAACATCTCTTCCCTTCAACCAGTAGAGCTGAGAAGGTCTTCCCTATTCTACTCTTGTTTCTGGTGTTAGCTGGAAAAGGATAAGTACAAGGGAAGAGCTTAACTTAGCTCAGGCTTTGAGAAGCTTCTACATCCATTTCCAAGGCTTAACTGGGGGTGTAATTCCTATCAAAGTTGTGAGACTCTAACTACCATTTCCCCCCACCCTGTTGACTCATTGCCAGTCATTTCTAATAAAGATGATTATTATACTGTGTGTTAAAAAGATTTGGTAAATCAAGACTGGCTGGATAACCAGGTAAAGGATCAATAAATTCAGGCAGTGTTACTGCTATATAGATGATTCTAAATCACTGCACTTGGCATTGGATACCCAGCACACACTCCCCTTCCCTGTGAGACGGTCGACCACACCCAACAGGAAACTCAGCCCCCAGAAAAACCCATGCCTAGATTCTCTGCCCTGTCCTGCCCATACCACCTTCACTCCATGAAAAGGAAAAGCAAATGTGTGCTGATGTGTGTACACATGACCCCAGAAAAACCATTTGATGAGGAAGCTACTTACAGCCAGTGTCTATTTGGAAATTAGAAAAATGTGAAGGGTGTTTTCCTGAAAGACATGTCAGTGCTTGACACTTATCCATCTGTTTATTCTTTTATAAGAAAAAAACAAATGACTTAGCCTTCCTGTTGTTAAAGGATTCCTAAGAAGAGACTTTGGGAACTAAGACTCAAAGGATACCTTACTCTGATTTTTTCTTCTTCTTTAGGTCCAGAGGGGGCAAACCTCTTTATTTACCACCTTCCACAGGAGTTTGGAGACCAGGACATTCTGCAGATGTTCATGCCTTTTGGAAATGTTATCTCTGCTAAAGTCTTCATTGACAAACAGACCAATCTGAGCAAGTGCTTTGGTATGCAAAAGAAACCAAGCTAGACTATTATAGTAGACTCCCCCAAGTGAGGAGTCATGGGAAGGAAAATGTGAAAGACAGCTATTTTTGGAGTCAGGATAGGGCCTTCGTGTGTGGTGGTATTTTCTGATTTTTCTGGATGCATGTAAGCAGATTTGGGTAAAGTTCTTTAGTCAAAATAAAGAGGAAGGGACTATATAAAAAGAATCTAGGAAATTTCCTTATATTAAGTAACACCATATGCCATAGTGTCTTACTATACATCCCTAATAATCTTTTGTTGTAGAGCAATAGCCATTTCTTCAGGCCCTTCAGATGGAAGCATGAACTTTCATCAGATGGAAACAGAGATTGTAGTTTAGTCTCTACTGGTATACAGTAGAACTGAAGACACTGCCAGTGACTCCTTATACTTTCAGGTTTAATGACTCAGAAACCGAGGCATGGGTCACACTGTTAAGTACACACACACACAGCCACAAATACACACACATTCACAAGCGGGGATGCCAGGCTGCTGCTACACTACAGTTCCACGTGCACAGGATGAGCAATTGATGTATCTCATGCTTACACAGAACACTGTGTTATGAGGCATTGGAGGGCCAGAATTTGGGTTTGTAAGACTGGCAGGAGCTAAGTGGGTGAGTATGGAGCCAGAGAGGGTGCATGTGTTATCCAGACACAGGAAACCCGGCTTCTTAGCACACCTAGTTTTCATACCATCTCTCCTCAAGCAGCATGGCCTCTACATCCTGTGGCATTTTGGGCTCCCTAGGAGTGTGAGGAAAACTCACAATGTGCACTGGTGTTTACAACAGGAGGACAGTATTTGTTTAATCCATTCATTGTTTTATTTCTCAAACTTGCTGGCCCCCAAAGTAGTTTAGAAACCAGGTGTTCACAGCATCTATTGCTCATCTGGCAGGCTCTGACCCAGTTTGAGTTTAGAGCATTTGCTTTACTCATGCCTGCAACTAAATAATTCATGTTGGTCACAGGCAATAACAGTAGCATAAAACAAGACAGAATAGATATGAGCCAGAAGAAACAGAACTGGGTGTCTGTCAGCAAAGAGGGAGGGTGGTTCTCAAATACCTTCAAGTTCATACCAGTTTAGTTGACTGGTAGTGGGTAACCAGGCCAAGGAGAACATCTTGGATCCTAAAACTACATTATCATAATGCCTAATTTCTGTGCATCACCCAGGAAGGTCAAGCCACTRTCTTTACTGCAGTGGAAAGGCTGTTGCTGTGCTAACTATATGAACCCCTTCGTAGTGGTTCACAAGAGGGAAATGGAAGTTAAGCTGTTTCATGGGGGGCTTTGGGGATCAGAGTTTACCTGTGGAAGGCTTCCCCACACAAGATTTTGAAGCCAACATTTACATTTTTCACAGGTGAGCAATGTTCYAGGCTCATATGGAGACTAGAAAGGGACTGTGCATTATGGTTCAATTTGAGAAAATATGTCTACCTTGAAGAGATTATATATCAGTCCACAAACTACTTAACCAGTGTGTTCATAATGGTACAAGTTACAGCCTTAACTGTATTCCTGTGAACTAAAAGCCACAGCATCCCAGGTCTCCTGGGAGCTAGCCTAAGTTCTTAGGAATCCAGTTGGCTAAATTCTGAGTCATAAGATAGCCCATTCTTTTGTTCGTACCTCTTGGCTGGGTTTTGGTATCCATATCTTGACCCATTTCCATCCTTTAAGCATCTTGCTAGTTCAGGATAAAGACCCTGAGGGAAAGGAGAGAGTAAAGTCAGAGCAAAAATATTAGATTTGAGATCACATTTATTGGGAATTAGATGTAATACTAATGTAAGCAGCCATTTTTGCAAGGCAGCCTGCAAAAAGCTTTTCTGCTGTATGACCATTTTTATTAAGTGAGGAGAGAACGCTGCTCAACATGTATTTATGTCCTTTGCTTCCTCCTCTGGTTTATAAAGGAATTTTCTCTTTAGCCTTAAACTTTCACAGTAAATAGATGGAGACTCTTAGTATAGAACCTTCTGAACAGTTGATGTTCAGAACTAAAATTAAATCTATACAATAGCTTCCTTTCAACTCTATAGCCAGTAGGAACTATAAGAGCTTACTGCTTGCCTCAACTTAACTAATGCTTTGCCTGTACCCCTACCTTGGCCTCACCCCCCAGTGTTAGAAAAAAGTAGGATCAGAATTGTGTTTCAAGGCCTCTGCAGAGCATCATGGGTCCTTTTTCAAAACCATACCCTCTCTACTGCTTTTGGCAGAGGATACAAACATACTGGGAATTCTGTTGAGAAGATTAAGTCCTAAGCTCTTTAGACCATTTATTCCTCAAGACTTTGAGAGATTCAAGGTAGCAATTTCCTTCTAGTTGAATTTTCTGAAGTTCTGCAAATGGAAACAGAGCTGAGGGGAAAGGCCCAGCATTTCCTTGGGTTCTTCTCAGAAATGACTACAAAACATTAAAAATGAAGTATAAATTATCTAATTCAGTAATGGGTTAATTCTRTAGTTGACTCATCCTCTAGCTAAATAGGTGTGGGCGCTGACCACAACTATAAGGCCCAGTCTCTATGTGCTGCACTGCAGGGAATTGGCGACCCCTCCCTCTTCCACGCCTTTCAGCCTCACTGGTAGGAACATGTGAGCTACTGGGGCCCTTGTAGCCCTGGAATATTTGTACCACTGCTTACATGGGTGAGGCTTATCCACCTGCAAGTCTTTCAGAGGGATTCTAAGGGATTTGAAACACAGATTTGACTTGAAAGCAGTAAATAAGGAGACTAAATTCACTTAAACAACAGTTGCAATTTTAGTTTTCTAAGGCAGGTTTTTGCCTTGTGTACCTAATTACAAGTCCAGCTACCTTTTTTACTACTTCTCAGTGGACATTTCCAGCATCATCCGCCCCTCAGACATGCCCTGGACACTGATGGCACGCAATAAACTGAGTAGCACTCCACTGAGCTCGAGGCCGGCACCTATGAGCATTTGCAGTTATACTGTGCCAGCCATCCCCATAGCCCTGGCTCCCCTTTCTACTCTGCTCCCACTCCATCTTGACCCACCTTCCTTCCCCTTTGTGTTTTCCAGGTTTTGTTAGCTATGACAATCCAGTCTCTGCACAAGCTGCGATCCAGGCGATGAATGGCTTTCAGATCGGCATGAAACGCTTGAAGGTGCAGCTGAAGCGCTCCAAAAACGACAGCAAACCTTACTGATCCCAACCCCAGAGGCTCCCTGCTCTTATTTTAGCTTTCTTAGGGTAAGTCCCACAAGCCAGCCTGTTCTCAACAGGGAAGGCAGAGGAGGACCACATTGCCAACTTTTACCAAGAGAGACGGTTATTTTTACAATAAGGCCTCCATTTCCCCCACCCAGCCCCTGACCCAGTCTGCCATAATTAAAACTTGGGCTACCTTGTTTATATTGAGTCAATTCCTCCTCCAGTTGTGCCACTGTATTCTCCTTTGTTTTGCAATTTGAATCTCCTTTTACCTTTTTTTTAAATTTTTTTTGTTTTCATTTTTGCTTTTTTAAAGAAAAACATATATACAAATAAATGACATCTTGAGAATTTAAAAGGCAAACAAATGCTGATGTGCAATTCTAACTCTGAAACCACTGGTGCCCCGAGAGCACTGCCTGGAGCATTCACCCCTCCTTGTCCGCGCCCACCCCTGCGGAGGGCCCCCTGCGTTTAGCGAGGTGGCCTAGCAGAGGGAGAAGCAGGAGAAGCACTTAAAACAACACAAACGTCTTTCCACTACATCGGTTTGTTTTAATAAGTAGGATTTTATTTTAGGGTTCAAAGAAACATGACATTTATCGGTCAGATTATTACACTGGTTGTCTATTTTGTTATTGTTTTATTTTTGTTTTTAGAAAGGATTAATGTAAAAAAAAGATTTAGAGATCTGTTTCTTAAAGCTACAGGGTTTAAAAATAAAATAAAAATGAGTGAAAATACTTGATGTTTCTTGAAAGATAAATTTAATAATAATAAATAAATACATAAATAATACATAAATAAAAAGAAAGCCACAGGCCTGTAAATTTTATTTGTAAAAAAAGCATTTCTATTTTTATACAAAATTTTTACTGCCTCAGAAATAATGGAAGTTATTTATTGCCTATTGTTAACTTATTGGGTACCTAAAGAGCAGTTCTCTGTCTAGCTAGAACCTTCTGAAGTAGTCTCTAGAGGAATTGTTCTAGGAATGGGCTTTTTCACCGTTGAACCCTAGACCTAAAGTTCATGCTTTATCCTCTCGTTGTTTGTATCTGTCTGATTATTTTGTTCGTAATTTCCATTATCTAGTTTACAGTTCAGTTGTCTGACTTCCCCGTATGTTACCTTTGTTGAAACTGGACCCTCTTCCCTTTCCAGTCCCTCACCCCAAAACACCCAGAATCCATCCCTTCTCACTCTCCAGATGGATTCTCTTGGGGTTTCATTGTGCTGTGGAAAAGAGTGTAAGAAATGCAAATTATGTGAATGGCTCGTAGACTCCCCGAAGACCTAAGATTTGCATTAGTTTTTCTCCTGCACCCTTAAAAGTGATTTTGTTGCTGCTGCCTAGATTCTGTGTAACTTTTTACTCTTCCTTGTTTTTTCCCTAGACATCTTCATGCCCGTTAGTTCATCGTTTGCCTAGCATGTCCCTGTGGCGTCTCAAAAAAAGTTTCATCGTCCCGTCATTGTTTCTGATGTCTTTCTGACCTCACATCATATTTGGTTCTCCTACTGACCTTTGATCTAGTTTGACCTTTGAAATTTGCATGTGACCTCATCTAGCTATGAATTCTGGGAAGTCAATGTGAAAAACATTGCTGCATTCATGCAAGACTGAAATTATTAGACAAATTAATTATAGAAAAAAAACCTGTGGCAAAAATGTTTCTTTCTTATTTTTTTTTTCTTTCTTTTCATAAAACAGACTTGAAAGTATTATACAGGGATTGGCATTCTTCCCGGTCACTGGTAACAATAGCAATATGTGTCCAGGGACACAGAATGTTGGTTTCTAACAGACTACTTCCAAAAACAGTTTGAGAAAAAAAACTGTCTGATTTTAAGTCTCTAGAGGTCTGTAATAGTTTTTACATTTTTCAGGCAGTGTAAAGTTTTTTGATAAGGCCATTTTAGGTGGCTCACTTTCTCATTAAGATATATATATAGAACCACTTTTTGTAGATTAGTATAAGAAAAATATTTACCCTGTTTTGGGGCAAATGCTACCTATTTGTGTCACCTTTTGCTGAACTGACTCACAGTTAGACAATCCATGGTTTAATGCACATGAAATTACCTATATTTTATACTGTTTCAATGTACAGGAGAAAGGTTACTGTAAACTGTGTTATGTTGGTGCTTCCGTGAATTAAGTTGTGGTTTCATCATGAGTCTTACGGTCTTAATGTTCTCTGTTGATAAGACAAGTTTAGAATTGGTTTACTTAAAACAAAAAACAAAAAAAAAGAATTTCAAAAAAAAAAAAAAAGTTGTTTGCTTAAAAAATTTTTTTTTCATGTGAGGAAAAAAAAAACTATTCCAGAATAAGTTTTGTGTTGGCTTGTGAAGCATTGATGTCATTTTTTTTTATTGTGGACTATTTAGATGTGTTTGTGTTCAGCAAAATGTGATCTGTTTTTTTTTTCTTTTAAAGAAAAAAAAGTGAAAATATATAGTGCCAAATTCCAAAGGTACTTCCTTCCTAGAGCTTCAGTGTGTTTCTTGTGAGAAGTAATTTGATAACATGGGTATTTTATTATGTGTTTTGTATAAATCCCTAATATTTAAAAAAAAAGGTTAAAAAGTTTGTTAACTTGCTATTCTGTGGTCTTGTTGCCTGAAATTGTTATTGTTTGTTATTTCTCTATGATGTTTTTTGTAAGACATTGTATAAGTGCCCATGTCTCACTTTTTTAACCCCTCTGCACATCAAGGCTGTGAAGGCACCCTCACAATGTATTTTCTTCATACTATATGGAAACCTCTAAGGTGAGAAAGTTTTGAACTTTTAACCCTTTCTACCCAGAGCTATCTGGAATGTTGGTAACTTTTTATAAACTGTCATCACTTGAGTTTGTTTTGGGGTGTTCCTTTTTCCCGCCCGCATATATCAGCTGAGTGATAAATTTTTACTACTTTCTTTTCCTTTGAGAGCCAAAATTCCACAAGGCAAATTTGAAGGGGGAAAAATACTCAAACATTCTCCAAATTTTGTCCTATGACATTTTTACTTTTGATTATTTCTGTTTTTTTTTTTTTAATTCCTAATGTGCTGCTGGAATTAGAATTCCTAATGTCCTGTGCTCCTTCTTCAGTTTGAATGAAAAAACGGGGGGAAGTAGGTAGATTCAGTTCCTAAATAAACCTTAAAAATGCCGTATGCTTTTTGAGAACAGATTTAGTGGTATGTTCTAGTCTAGAATATTTTCATATAATTACAGTCAGACAACTTTTGTGGTAGGACTGTCTTTTGAGGAATTTTACTTTTGTGTTTTAAATGCTCCTAAATAACCTTCAGTYAGCTACTGTGCTGGGAATTCTCTGACTCCAGTGGACGCCTCTGAACGAGCAAGGTGTCTCAAGGGAGAAGCCCAGAGCCCCCTCCCCTGCACTTTTTGCTTTCTGGTTCTTCAAYTGAACACACTGATTGAACACAAAGGGGACTGGCCACATAAGTAGAGCTGGGTTCTTGACCAAATACCTTCCTGCTGCCACTTTTTAAAGTGCCATATTACTTTCACTTGGACTTTCTGTGAACAGATACCTTGCTGTCTTGACAAACCTGAATGTCATACCTACAGCCCCATCACAAAGCCCAGCCTTCCTGAAAGCCAGCCCTGGAAGCTTCTTGGTCTCAACTCCCTTTTCCTACCCGCCCTGTTTGGTCTAATGTGCGTGTGGACGTGATAGCCCTGGGATGGAAAGGACTAGCCTCTAATGATGCAAAAAACAAAAACAGAAGTTTCCTTCTTACAGCACATGCACTTCTAACGAAATGATTTGTATTATCCTCACACGTGTTTACTACTGCCGGGGCCTTCCTGCAGCCTCTGAGGGCTATTTTGTACTTCCTGCAGCACTCAGCTTAGTAACAGGTTATTGCACACGTCTCTCATGTGTCATGGTGGTGTAGAGATACTTACACAGAAACGCAAGACAACACCATTGGAATTTCTTAGACCATTTCATTCCAAATCTATTCCTTTACYAATTACATTAATCTCAAAGTTTGGTTTTTTGGTTTTTGGGGTTTTGTTTATTTTTTGTTTATTTTTTATTTTTTTTTTTTTACCAAAGCAACTGCCCTCCTTTCCTCTTAACCCACCTGCATCTCCCCCACAGAAAAACTGAGAGCAGTTGACAGGAGGCTCAGGGTGGGCACTTTGAGCGTTTCTGATTTTGCAGGCAATCAAGACAGTGTATCTAAGATGAAAGTCCTTTTTTTTTGGGGGGGGGGATTGGTTTTGCATGTTTCATTGTTAAAAAAAAAAAAACCCTCCTCAGAGACAAACTGTCCTTTTTATCTTTTAATATCAAAAGGAAAACAGCTGCGAGGGTGCAAAGGGCCTGTGCCAGGAGACAAAACACGCAGGGAAGTGACTTTTTTTAAATCAAGTGTAGAGAATAGTCATTTTTAAACTAAATTAGAGAATTGTGACAAAATGGCAGTCCTCAAAGGCGTAACAAGTTCATCTTTCTTTCACCATAGGGGTTATAGTTCTTTGGCTTGTGCTACTCTGGAATCATTTTACTGTTTCTGTTTTTATTAAGTGCTAATTAAAAAGAAGAAATAAAATTTTAAAAAAACCTGTAGTTTCATTACCTTTTTGAATAATGTCATACAAAAAATGTATTTGTGTTTTTTTGTGCTGTGAGAATTGTTGTTTGTAGATTAATAATATCATTTTGTTTAGAATTACAAAATAGTTTTTAAATATTGTCTGAGAAAAGCCAAAGTTAATGCAACCTAGTGGAAACTGTAAGACCATTTGAGTATTGTTTCTGTTTTATTGATGCATTTGGATTTTGTTGTTTGATGGAATTTGAGCCAAAAAAAAAAAAAATACGCAGGCTTTCCTATTTCTACAACTGATTGTACTTATGCATTTTGTACCAGTGGAACTTTTTATACTGGAGATTAAAAAAAAAATGGAAATTTTTGTGGCTTACTCTCGTGGGCCCCCTGACAATGACTGATTTCAAGTTTGATTTCTGGTTGATAGAAAGAAAGTTGCTTTTCTTTTGAGAATTAAAAACTTTGGCTTGATTTCTTTTTTCCCTTTGCTTATATCTAGCATTAGAATTTTGTCTTAAAATACAGCGGTAAGTTTCACTTTTTATTCTGTATTGTGCAGTTACACAATAAGGTAATTAGATTTAGAAGTACTCAGTCACCTTAAGTGGATAAATGTATTAGTTAAACTTTAGGGGTTTGCTTTTTTGCTGTTTAGATCAAAGTTTTTTCTGATTCTTCTGTCCTCATTGTGAACATAACCGTGTAGTTGAAACAGTCAAACTTATTTTTGTAATGTATGTTACTGTGTGATGCGGTTTTTGGCTTCTGTCTCCAATATTAAACCATTTTCCTAATACTTGTTTCTCTCTCTGCGTGTTGTATCGTTGGTGGTCATTGTATGTTGGTGATGCATCTACACACCTCACTTGTTTCACCTGTTTTTTTTTTCTATATGTTGTGTAAAAGATACAGTCGATTCCACCTAAGTGAATATCTGATTTGGGGAAACTGCACACCAGCCACCTTTCATTTATGTACAATGGTCCACTCTGACCACTGCTTCCAAGACTGATACTTTTTTCTGTGGTTCACCTAAATAACTTCCCTACCAAGCTGGTTTGCCAAGACATTTTATGGTCTTTTGACCATATACGTTCATTTCACCACTTCTGACCTCCTTCCCCTTCTCCCTCCCTCATGAGTGTATATATTTACATAAACATGGATATATATGCACACACATGTGTACATATATATAATATGCATTTCCTAATGTTCACTAAAATCTGCTGCATTACCTTAAGAAGAAAAGCAGCAGACTTGGGGTTTCTTCTGTCTATCCCCAAGTCCAAAAGCATAAAAGCATATCATTACGGTCAAGCTCTTCTCAGAAACTAATCACCTTTTCAAATGAAGTGAGCTCTCGAGGGAGGAAAAAATAAACTTAGCTGGTGAACAGAAGATGTGAAAAGGGTTAAACTCAGTTCTGTGTTGCCATCAATCAATAGATATGTATAGAAAAGTAATTTAAATTATTTATTTCTACTAGCTAATTGAATCCAGGAGCAGCTTTAATAATTAAAACTAATGGAAGAGAAAAGAAATATTTCCAAGTGCTCAAATGGAAGCTCTACTCAGTCTAAAGGGGGAGATGAAGCTTCTCATGCTCAAGTCCTCAATGGCATGCTGTCCAAGTCCACAGGAAAGCTCGTAATGCCCCATGCACTCCACACCCCTCCTGGATGCACGCACAGCTAGGAGTAGGCTGTGTTCCTGTCACCCAACCCCAGTCATCACAAAAGAGAAGAACTACTCCTCACATGCCCTCCACATCTTAGGCCAGAGGCCCKCCTCCCTTTTCTGCCCAGCTCCTATGCTCAGGAATCTGACTGCTCTTAAAGTGCTCTTAAAAGATTCCATGATGTCTGCTCCCTGTCTTCTCTCCTCCCAACCTTTCAGACGCACAAGCTCTGTCTGCCTCAGGCCCCCAGCACCTGGTGCCAATGAGATTTCTCCCCGCAGGTGCTCAGGCTCTCCGCCCTCTGGTTTCAGCTACCCCTCTGGCCCCAAGATTGTATTTTTAAGTAGGGTCAACAAGAGGGGCCTAGTGAGGTGGAGGAAAGGCGGCTCTTTCTCCCATAGGCCAGACACCTCAGTGGTAGTGACTGCCACCAGCTCCAGACCTGCACAGAGGGGAGCTGACTTCCTGCCGACACTTCCGCTTTAAGCCTCATCACAGCCTTCCATCAGCTGCCTCTGAAAACCCACTGCTCACTAGTGGGAAAAGACGGCTAAGGGTGTGATTTCTTTTTCTTTCTTTTCTGAGGGGGTTGGGGGGCGGGGGGCACGAGGGAGGGGAGACTGGGGAAAGAGTGTGATTAAATTCCTTACAAGATGCAAGTGTTTACTTTTAAAATAATATAACCACCATTTGGCACAAGGCAAAATACTCATGCTAAGTGAAGGAAGGGAAGACAAAGCCAGTTTTTGCTGTTTTCCRAAAACAACAAAAACAATAATTCTCCAAAGAAGAGGATGCAAAAGGCTAGTTCCTTAAGCACGGATGACGGTAAAGTTGGTCCCTGCTTAAATTCATACTTATTTTGATTTATAAAACACCACTGCAGGTGTATCTGCCTGCCATGCATGGACCACCTTGAGAATCAAGGACTGCCAATGCTTCCTGGCTGACGGGAAGCTACACGCCTGCCCAGCCCACAGCAGCTGCGGGCCGTCCATGGGCTCAGCCTCTTGGCTAGCAGTCTAGGAAACACAGTGAACATAAATGTACTGTGAATCGTTCCTGATAAGTGAATAAAACATTGTGACCAAACAATCAGCTTATTCACTTATCAGGAATCGACTGTTCTGCTAATTCACTGTTTTTGTTTTTCATTTCTGTTGTAGTTCACTACTTTTGCTGTGTTCTGTTTTCTCCTCTCATGCTTGGGCAAAATCACTGGGAATATTATCTTCATGTGACCATGAAACGTTTATATGGAGTGGAAATGATATCTTAACAAAATCTATGCACTTGCTATCAGGAACACAATACTGGATGTGTCTTATATATATTGAACTATAGTACTCGATTTCTTAAATAAAGCTTAAGAAAGGACTCTGTTGTGTGTAAAGTTAATGTGATTATTTTTCAAAGCAGTGTTTCTAAGGGGTATTTTTGTTCTTTTAAGTCTTGAGTGATACAGGATATTTTTCATTAAAATTATATCACTGGCTTTATGACTTAATATTCAATAAATTGACTTTGGAAACAAAATGGAGTGGGGGGAAGTTCTTCTGAGTTCATTTTAGCAAGTGATCTGGAAAACAGTCCCCTTCCTGGTGACCACAGCAAATCTCTAATGAGGCACTAGGGGTGGCCAAACAGAGCAAGCCCTTCACCTCTAACGGACCACCAGAAAACATCCAAAGTCCACCCTAACCTAGAAAACCCAATTGTATTGCTGAATGTGATCTCTTTAGACTCAGAAGAAAGGGGACAAAGGAGAAAGGCAGATCCAAGAGTAATGCTGGTTTGTGTCGATACTTTGCCAGAATGATGTGACACTAAAACTATACCCTGCTGGAGAACAATGGAAGTCCTATTCAGGACCACAAAATGAGAGACAGCAAGAGAACGTATTTGATCATTCCAGATGAGAAGGGTAAGATTTCAAAGTGCAATGTGAGAGAGGCATCCGGAAACAGCTGCACAGCCTAAATGGGAGGCCTGCTGCTGGGCCCTTTGAAAGAATATGTTTGAAATTTTTCCTACAGGCCATAAGTTTGAACAGAACAGCATTTTCTGTTGGATTTTTTTGCTCTGGGTTTTTTTGTTGGATTTGTTTTTCTTGCTTAATGTTTGATTCTAAGAAAAATTCCTAAACTTCTATTTGCAAAATGGCACAGAAATCCTAATCCAAAACATATCCATCCCTGGTAATGAGGGACAGAAAGAGCATGGTCAATGAAAACGCACTGAACAATACAAAATTCCTCTTCCCTTCGCTACTTTCTTCCACCCCAAACCTCCAAATGATACAAGTGTCACATACCCAAAAACCTCCAGTGAAGGTGAGGGATCAGAGAAATAGCCACAGGAAAAGGCAGCCAAATCAAGGGACCAGGGTGGGGAGAGCCGACACTATGAGAACCACTSATCTGTATGAACTGGGCTCAGGGATTACTATTGGCTGCACCGGGGAGGCACCTTGGAACATCGTCACAGCCTTCCCTTGCCAGCCAGTGGCACTACTAGAAAGCATCCCCTTTTTTCAAGAGGGCACATCCAAGCCATCATGGGCAGGAAGGCTCTGAGCCCCACGCAGGGAAGAAGAACGAAAACTAGCATACTCCCTTCTTGGCCGGCAGCCCTGAACCAAGAGTACCTGGTACTCTCCAAGTGGGGCAGCTGCTGAGAACCCTGCATGGAGTGCCTGAGGCAGGTTCGTAGGACAGGAGCTGCTTTATGAGAGAAGCTGCACTACTTTTGACCTCTCTCTGTTGGTCAGCAAAGCAGTCTGTCACCAACTTCTACTTGCCTGCCTCAGGAGAATGTTTTCAAGAAGAAAAATATTACATATACATATACATATATACACACGGCATACRTAAACACACATGTGTATACAGTGTTCGGCAACTGGTCAATTAAAGCTGCACAAAAGAATTCCCATCTTTGGGACACAATGATCCTTCATCATGAAGCTGGTGTGAGAGGTACAGAAAGTGGGTGCTAGGAGCATTCTCTGGGGAACCAGATTGCCTACGTTTGAATGCCAGCTCTCCCTCTAAATACCTGTGTGACCGTTTTGTGCTTTAATTTCCTCATTAGCAAAATGAGGGTACAATATAATACCTAATGCATGGGTTGTTATGACAATTAAGCCAACATATAAAAATGATCTCATCATATATAATAAGCACTCAATAAACATCAKCCAGTTAGCATGGACGTACCCAGGACTTGGTTAGCTGAAAGCCAGCTCTGGCCTGGTCTGTACCTTCTAGCTGGAATCATTTCAGCCATCTCTAGAGCCCTGCCACTCTCCATGGGTAACTACAGACAAGAACTAACCACAACCCCCAGTTCTTCCAGCASAGATGTCAGCACTCTCAAGTCCCAGAACAGTCATCCATGAATGGCACCCCACCTACCGGGTTAGCACACCACACTGTTCCGCCCTGAGTCTGCCAGAGCTTTGGACCCCATTCTCAGACAAGGAAGCCACTCCTCACACTGAGGCCACCCTTTCCTGCTTCTAAGTATTATATTTAGTCATCTCTTTCACAAAAGGAAGACCTAGCTGTCTAGTTTGTTCCCAAGGCAGGAAAGAGATCAATCTCCTATAGACTTGCCTAAGACAAGCCTGCAGGTTCTGGGCCTTCCGGGGTAAAGTGATGTCCTCAGCAACAACCAGAATTAGTCAGTGACTACCTTGAGAACAGCAGAGGTGGAGCTCAGAAGCCCAGCAGAGAGCCCTTAGACCCTCCTCATCATACCCCCCGTTTCACCAAAACAGCCGCCTTGGTGTRTTTTTCTTAGTAGTGATCTGTGTCGCCGCTTGTTTAGGAAAAGGATGTTGCTACACGTTAAAGCCACTGCTTTAGCAAAGGGTGGTTCTGAGAGGGGTTCACCGTTACCCAAGCCTGTGGCAAGCTCTGACTCTCTCTGGAGTCATTCTCCCGTCCCCCTTCCTTCCTCATCTCTACTCCCATCTTCCCACAGTTCCTTGCGATKCGACATAGCATTCGCTCTTTGCTGTATGCTGTTTACATGTTGTTTATGTCCATCTCCCAAGAAACTCTGTGTTCTTCAGGGAAGTGACTGTGCCTCACACAGTGCCTGGTGGGTGA